ACACACACACACACACACACACACACACAAAACACTCCTCTGATCTCTGCACCCCCTTTTCATGCCGTCGCATGATGAGCAGATACAACTTTGATAATTTTCGGCACTAAAAGAAGCAAGCGGCAACAAGGGATGCGCACTCATCGCTTGCACAAACGCCAAAGAAAGCAAACAGCACTTTGCCTGTCCTCTCTCTCTGTGCCTCATTTCCAGTCTCGCAATCTATCCAGCCATCGATCCAAACAAGGAACAGCAACCATGTCAAAGTGGCTGAACAAGCGCACCCAGGTGTGTTGTATGAAGATGGCTTTGTTTGCCGTACAATGTGACAATTGAGTCCGCTGCAAGCGAGCAAATTGCAGTGTGTTTGGTGTGTCGTTTGTTTGTTTGTTTGTATGTGTGTGCATGTGTGCGCGCACGTGTGCGTGTGCGCGTGTGCATGTGTGTTTGCGCATGTGTGCGCGTGTGCATGTGTGTGTTGACGTTTACTTTGTGTGTGTGTACGGCCAAGCAGTTGTGTCAATGCTTGTGGCGCATTGAGACTACCAATGCCTCCAAGCGTGCGTTTCCCACGCGTTCTCGGACCTCCCTTCTCACTCACTTGCACTGATACCCTTGCACCTTAATACCTTTCCCCCTTTTCCGTTGTTCCTGGTTGTGGCTTCATTCATGTCTCGCGTCATTCTGACAGGCAGTGACAGAGTCGCTGAACAAGAGCGCCAAGCGCACGCAATATGACGCGGACTTTGAAGAGCTGCAACAGCAGTGCGAAACCACCAAGCAGGTCGTGCACAAGATGCTCAAGGAGACGCCCAACTTCCTGCACCCAAACCCTGGTACGCGGCGACCACACCCTTGTGATCATGCTGCGCACAACTTGACACGTGCACAATGACACGCACAACAGCACAAGCACAAAGTCTGCACACACAAACACAAGCACACTCACCACACACACACACACACACACACACACACACACACACACACACACACACACACACACACACACACACACAAACACGCCTCACACGTTCATCCGTTTGATGTTTGCTTGATGACTTGGCCTGTGTCGTTGTGTTCCATGTGTAGCCGCGCGTGCTCGCACAAGCATGGGCAGCACGTACGCCAAACTTCGCAAGACCGCAGGTTAGGTGGGAGGTGCTGGAGTCATTGAACGGTCAGAAAGGGAAGGGAACGTGGTGCCCGACGATGCTTGCATGCGAGCACATTCGTGCACACCTCCTTGCATGTTTGCTTCTTTGCATTTTTGTGCACGCACCACCAGCATCAGCGCCACCAACACCAGCTTTGCCCCTCCCTCACTTGTTGCTCGTATCATCGGGTGCTCGCTTGTGCAGCGGAGAAGCGGTACCCGCACGCGATTGGCGTGATGGCCGAGCTCCTTACCAAGGGCGCAGCCGACATGCCGCCCGGCTCGTCCCTTGGTGCGTGAAATGTGCGCACGCGTGTGTGTGTGTGTGTGTGTGTGTGTGTGTGTGTGTGTGTGTGTGTGCGCGTGTGTGTGTGTGCGCGCGCGCGCGCGTGTGTGTGTGCATGCGGGAGTGCAAGTGTACACAAGCTTGAGTGTGCAAGTGAGTGCTGAGCTCTTGCGTGTGTATTGCTATCAAGGCGGCCTTCTTCCTTTGCTTTGATGCAGCTGTAAGCTTCCATTCCGTCGCTCACATGCTGTGCATCACGTGCAGGTTCCGCGCTGCGTGAGGTTGGCGAGTCCTTCCAGACCATGACAGAGGCGCAGCACAACTTTGTACGTGCACCACCTGCTCAAATATCCCGTGTTTTAACGTGTGTTGCTGGTGGCGCCTCTGCAGAGTGCAATTTGTGCCAGCCCTTGTTATACGTCACCAGCCTTTGTCATACGCCACCCACTCACGTCCATCACACACACACGCACACACGCACGCACACACACACACACACACACACTGCGCTGGCAGGATGCAGAGGTTGTGCAGAATTTCATGGAGCCGCTGAAGGATCTCGTTGAGAACGACTTCAAGGAGCTCGGCAAGCAGAAGCGCAAGCTCGAGGACCGCCGCCTCGCATACGACTTTAAGGTGACGACGATGACGATGATGGTCGTGGTGGTGGGGGTGGATGGTGGTAACGAGAAGGTGTTGTTGGTGGGGCTAAGCTTGCCTCAAGAATTGAACGCCTCCCACTTCATGGTGTAGCATGCGGCATTGCCAATTCACGCGCCCTATGCACATGTACCTCACTCTCATCATGTCTCCGCGCAAACACACAACACACACACACACACACACACACACACAACACACAACCAACACTCTTCGGTGACAGCTGCGCAAGCGCGAGTCTGGCAAGTCGTCCATCACGGATGCGGACATTAAGCTTGCGGAGGAGAAGTTTGAGGACTCCAAGAACAACGCAGAAAACGCCATGATGAAGATTGTCAACAACGACGTACGCGCTCTCACAGCGTTCATGGTGGCGAAGGAAGCGGGAAGCGGACGCGTGCATCCTCAACACGACAGCGAAACAAGCCAAATGTGCTCATGCGCGCATTTTCTTTCGACACACCCACACCCACACCCACAATCACACACACACACACACATATTCACGCTCTCTCACGTCTTCTCGTGCGCCTGTGCGGATATGGGTTGCGTTGTGCTGCGGATGCGATCAGGTTGAGCAAGTTGGGCAGCTCATGTCTCTGGTGCAGGCGATGATCACGCTCGCCCGCAACCAGCTGGAGACGCTGGAGGCAACACAGGCCGGCCTCGAGGAGATGTGCGTGCACAGTGTGGTGGTTGTGTGGTGGTTGCAAAAAGGGATGAGCATGCATAGATACCCGCGTGTATGCTGCATTTTCGCATTTTGAAGATGATGCATTTCATTCATGCCACTTACACTCATCATGCACTCGCCTCCTCGCCCCACCCACCTTTGCCCACCTCCACGTCCATCCCTCACCCAGCCTTGAGCAAGCGAGCACAAAGCCGAAGCGCACGCAGCGCCCCGTGTCCATGATGCAGTACGAGGACGACGAGGACGACGAGGCCGCACTCGCCGCCCGCGGTACGCACGAGCGCGCGCGCGCGTGTGTGTGTGTGGGTTGTGGTGGGGGTTGGGGTTGGTGGGGTGTTTGCGTGCGCGCCGTGTGCGTGTGGGTTTTGGTGAGGTGTTTGCGTGCGCACTTTTATGTGCGTTGGCTGTTTCCCTCGTTTCTCCTGCGCTCCTCACACACACACACACACACACACACACACACACACACACACACACACACACACACACACACACACACACACACACACACACACACACCACACCGCAGGCATCAGCGCGGACGAGCCGTCGGCAGTTGCACTGTTTGACTTTGAGGCGGAGAACGAGGGGGAGCTGACGTTCAAGGAGGGCGACACGATCCGGCTGCTGTCGCGTTTGGATGAGAACTGGCTCGAGGGCGAGGTCGATGGCCAGCAGGGCATGTTCCCCGTCAACTGTACGTCACCACCGCGCACATGCACCCTTGCATGCAAGCACACGCTCGTGCTCACTGAGCAATACTACTTGCTTGCCCTCTGCGTGCCTTGTATGCGTGCCTCGCATGCGTGCTTGTTTGTGTGTTTGCCCCTCGTCTCACTCACTTGTACTTGTGCATCCCTTCCTTCTTGCCCCCTCCTGCTTTCCTTCCCCGTCCTTCCCCTCTCCTTGCCTCTCCTTCAACACCTCAGACGTTGAGATCATCCGCGACGTCTAATACTCGCGTGAGTCAAACCAATGTCGCCCCCCCCCCCACAGAACCGCCAACCGCCAACCCTCAACGTTGTTCTGTCGTCTGTCTGCGCATCCATGCATGCATGCGTGGGCGCGCGTGTGTGTGCGTGCGTGTATGTGTGTGTGTGTGTGCGTGTCTCTCTGTCTTCCAACCCACACACTCTTTGCTGTGTGCACCACTGTTAACGGTCCACACATTGTGCCCAAAAGTGATGTGTTGTGTAGTCCATGTGCACCACCCTACCACTTCTTTTGTTTGTTTTGTTTCTGTGTCTTTGAGTATCGGCGTCCCCAGCCTTGACAAAATTGTCAGCCAGACACGACAGCCACGCTCGCTCGCTCGCTTGCTTGTTTGTCTGTTCCCTTCATATCCACAGCCATCCCCCCCCCCTTTCTTCACCACTCGCTGCACCCGCGCTCGTTGGCTGCCTACGCGTACATACGTGTCTTGCGTTGCGTGGACGTTTATCAATGTCACCTACAAAAACAAACCAACAACACACAGCACATTGCCTGATACGTGCTGCCGGGTGCGGGGAACAGAAAAGAAAATAGCACACACGGACAGGGGTGAGATGCGTCCAGCCGCAGACGGCACGCGAACACCCGCACGCAGCACGCGCCACAACAGCACAGGCATGTGACGACGAGGATGGGGGGGGGGGAGGGGGAAGACGGCATGGCGGGAGTACAACAACAGCAACAACAACAACAACAACAACAACTGCAACACGGAGTGGGTCAATGGTTGACAGAGTGTAGTGGAATGGATGGGGTCAGTCATAACAAAGCAGGCTGCAACGCCACGGAAACCAAAGTGAGCACATCCACGCGCACGCTTGGATGTACGTACACACACAATGCGGGTGGTCACGCTTGTGACAACAGAACAAAATGGAAGGAAGGGGAAGAAACAGAAAGCACGAACAGCAATGATTGTCTTAACTTCAAACACGTGTTCATCATCATCATCATCATCATCATCATCATCAGCAGCAGCAGCAGCAGCAGCAGCAGCACTAAAGGAGTGAAACAGCATGCACGATGGGATCAAACTGCACCCACCCCCCGTGCAACAACACCTCTCAGCACTGCGCAAAACGGCAGTCATCAGAGCAGCGTGCAGCACCCACCACCGGTCTTTGCGGTGAGAGCGACATCTGCGGCCCAGTTGAACACATCCTGCACGCCATCCCTCGTCTTTGCGCTGCACTCCAAGTACCCCTGCGCGCCAACCCGCTCAGCAAGGTCCTCTGCCTCCTTGAACTCAACAAACGTCTGGCCCCTGCCCGCCATCTCCTGCTTGCGCTCAGCATCCTCCCGCAGGTCGGACTTGCACCCGACAATGATGTACGGCACCTTCGGGCAGTACGACCGCATCTCAGGAACCCACTGCGGATGCGTAGATGAGTGCGCGTGTGTAGGTGCGTGTGTGTGAGTGTGTGTGTGTGTGAGTGTGTGTGAGTGTGTGTGTGTGTGTGTGTGTGTGTGTGTGTGTGTGTGTGTGTGTGTGTGTGTGTGTGTGTGGAGCAAGGGGAACATTTCGCGACAGTGCCACAAAGGGGGAATGACGTAGAAAAAATTGGAGTGAGCTATCGGGAAGGTCAACATGCGTGTGTGCGTGTGATATGGCGAGCTGTGCACAGCACTCGCACGCTACACTTCAAATGCGTTCACACTCTTCCTCTCCTGCAGCGGCGGGAAATGCCACGCACCTTGGATTCGATGTTTTCAAAGGAGTCTCTGTTGTCCACAGCAAAGCATATGAGGAACACATGTGCTCCGTCGTACGAGAGCGGTCGGATGTGTGCGTAGTCTTCTTGACCTGCAGCAAGAAAAAGTAATCGCCAGGTTTAAAGGGGGGGAGTATCAGCGCAGGATACATACAAGCATCCCGCATCCATGACAACGAAGACCACCGCCATCAGAGACAGCATGAAAAGGTGGGCGGGGGAAAGACGAACTCCATTCGTACACAACCATACCCATACATACATACACACACAGTCTTTCGGAACATGCACACATTTGACGCACGCGCGCGCGCACACAGACACACACACAGAGACACACCTGCTGTATCCCACAAGGCAAGCTCGACAGTCGCTTGTGGTCTTGATACGGTGGCAACGTAGTTCTCAAAAACTGTGGGTACATATTTCTGTCATAGCGATGACATGTCAAGACGCGTTAGGAGGGCGGGGATGGGGCTCCTACAACCGCAACACAGTTCCCATATGCGGCAGAGAGAAGCACGCACACATGTATCGGCATGCCAACTGCACGGAACAACAACAATCACATGCTGAGGCATCGAGTAAGAGCACGGCAGTGAGGGCACACCTCTGGAAATTCGTTGTTGGCGTACACGATGAGCAGGCAGGTCTTGCCGGCAGAACCGTCACCGATACACACCAGCTTTTTCGATACGTTAGCCATGACGCCTCGTGCTGTCTTGTGTATGTGTGCACGTATGTGGTGGCTGGTGTTGCCTGTGTGGTTGTGTGGTGGCGTTTGAGGTGTGCTGTTGATGTTGATGTTGAATTGTGTTTGTGGCGTTCACCAACGGCAAGCAAGGACAGAAACAAGTACAGCGGGATCATGTGTGAATGCATGTGGGCGAGCGTGCGCGCGTGTACGTTTGTGAGTTGTGATTTGAGCATGAACACACCCGTGCAAGGTCAAGAGGACATGCGTGTTGTGTGTGTGTGTGTGTGCGATGCACGCGGGCAGGAAGGTCATCAAGGCAATAGATTGTAGCATGTGGGTGCAGTGGCAACAAAGTCTTGCCACATCATCAACGACAACAAGGACAACAACACCAAAAACAACTTCAACGCTCGCTTGATGCATGCCACCTTGTGCCTGACACGACACAAGGTGTGTTTGCTCCGCCCACTTGCACAAGGTGTTTGTTCGTGATGTTGTCGCACCACAACACGAGCATCCAATACTGCCGGCCAAGAGCAGCATCGTGTTTCACTTACGTGGCAGTCGCAGACAAGCAGCAGCCCTCTCGTAGAAGACGAGCAGCTCAGAATCAGATTCGTGCGTGGTGCGAGTACTGGCTGTCAACCGGTGCGATATGCGCTGAGTGGTCAGCTCTGTGTGTGGGTGTATGTGCTGGGTTGGATTTGGCCAAGCAAGCAACGACGAAAAAACGCCCTCTTGTTGCTTCCCACACCTTTTTTTGGTGTTGTTAGCAGCGGCTCACTTTTCTTTCTTCTTATTTTTTTGAACCACGGGTTGTATGCAACGGGCCCAAGCAGTTGGCAGGAAGGACAGCAGACATTCACTCACACACGCACGGACGGACACACGCACGCACACAGACAGACAGACGCACGCACATCCACAGACAGACAGACAGACACACAGACAGACAGACACACAGACGGACACACAGACAGACACACGCACACGTACACACACACATGCTCTCACTGACCGGTCTCACTGCTACTACACAGCAGCACCATCACCATCACCATCACCACCACAATTATCACGTGGTTGCGCGTGCTCCGGTGGCGGGAGAACAGAGAGGTGTTCATGAAGAAACACAAGGCCAAGCTCGTCACTAAAGTGCACCCCACGAATGCCCACATGTGCATCCGACGACGTCAAGGGCTGCAGCTCATCACCGGCCGGGTACGGGGTCACCGTCCCAGTCTCTTTGTCAACCTGACACCGCAGCACCGTGTCCTCCTCTGTCGACACCAGCACCTGGTCATGCGCACGCGCCAGCGCCAGCGTCCGGCCTTTGCCATGGTGCAGCTCCGTGGCAAACTTGAGATGCACAGCAGGCGAATTGGAGCTGCGCCGTGTTGCCGATACTCGCCGCATTTGCATGGCACCACCTGAGCCAGAAGTACCGCCACCACCACCACCGGTGCTGGTGCTGGTGGATGTGCGTCGCTTCAAACCGCCACCCTGCTGCGCTGCTGAGGAAGATGAGCTGCCCACGGCTCCTCCCGTCATCCTGCCATCAGCCACGCGCTGCACAGCAGCATCACCGGAGCCTCTGCGCGAACCATCAAGCTGTCTCTGACTGGAGCTCCGCTTCCTCCTCGCTCTCGCCCCACCACCCTTGTCACCCCGGCCACCACTGCTGCCATCATCGTTGTCATCGTCGACATCAGCCTCAACGCCGGGCGCAAGGTGCCATACTTTCACCATGCCATCAGAGCTGCCGGTGAGAAGGAATTTCCCTTGCACCAGCACACACCGTGGCCAGTTTGCGTGTGCGCGCTCTACACGCTGCAGCGGTGTCAGGCGCGCGCACGCCCCAAACACGCCCGCAGGAGGCACATCAACCCAGAGCAGCGCCAGGCCGCAGTCTGGCGAGCACGAGACAGCCAGCGACTCAGACACCCATGCCATATCCATCACCCAGTGCGTGTGCACCTTGCTGCGATCATGGAACGTCAGCACCCTCTTGCTCTCATCAGCATCGTTCATGGTGGAAGCGGAGGAGGAGGAGGAAGAAGAAGAAGCGAAGGACACGGACGACGCGTACCCTTTCACGTCTGCTCGCGCTGCTGCTGTCTTGGCCGGCTGCATGTCCACACCACCATGGCTGCCCCTGTGCTCACCACGAACACCACCGCTCCTATCCTCATCACCGCCCTCATTAGTAGCGTCGCCATCGCCATCGCCATCCCCGTTGACATCGTCACCGCGACTGACACCAGCCGTGCTCACCGCACTTCCTCGCCGTTGGTGCGCGGCCTTGACGAAGTACGGGTTGACCAGCTTCGTCAAGGATCCTTTGCTGCTGTTGCTGGACAGCGTTGCGTGCAGCGACCACAGCACGACAGTGCTGTCACCACCACCGCTCAGCAGCCATCTCTGCGACGCGAGCCCACCGCCAGCTGGTGCTTGCGGCGACACAGCCAGCGATCGCACCCAACCGTAGTGCTCGTGGACATTTGCAATGCATGTGACGTGCAGCGGCAGCGCTGTTGTTGTGGAGACGCCCGATGCGCTGCCCGCGGCCTCCTTCTTCTTGGGCATGGCAGCGTACCAGAGCCGGACGCGCTGGTCTGCACCGCCAGTGGCAACGATGCACGCGCGCGCGGTGCTGCTGACAAGCCGTGCGCACACAACGTCGCCGCTGTGCGCTGCAGGCAGAGACTTGCGCAGGGCGTGGGACAGGTCATCCCCGACACGAATGACGTGCAGCGTGCCCGCGGTTGTGCCGCTCACCACCCACGGTGTGGTTGCATCGAAGCAAGTCACGTAGTCACACGCCACCCTCACTGTTGACGGCTGCAAGACAACCGGCTTGCACGCATGCCAGCAGCGCCAGCGCAGGTCAACCGCCGGGTCCAGCTTCAACGAGGGGCCGCCGTGCGCGCCCATGGCTACCGTCAGGCGCTGCTCCTGGTGCGCAAGCGCCCTTGCTGATGCTGACGAAGCAGATGTGGGCGCCGACGACACCCAGTCCTGCATGGCGGAGGTCAAGGCGTCGAGGGCGCGAAGGACACCAAGCACGCTGCCTGTAGGGTCTGTGCTGTCGCTTGCTTGTGCCGTTGCGTGCGAATCGACGACCAGCCGGCCAAACCGCTGCAGCGTCCCGGGTGGGAACGCACGGCGCTTGCGATGCTGGTACGCCTCGCCACACACCTCCACCTTGAGCGCCAGGCTGCGGGAAATGCCGTCACCGCTCTCCGCAAAGGCGGCAATGGCATACTCGATTGCGCGATGCAGGGCGCGATCTACGGTTGCCCGCGAGCACTCGCCATCGTCTTGCAACAGCAGCTCGTCTTCACCTTGGTCAGCTTCTCCCCCGTCACCTGCTGGCTTTCTGCGTGCGCCTCCATCGTCGCCGTCGCTGTCATTGTCATCATCTTCATCATCATCATCGCCATCGCCTGCGCCGTCATCATCATCATCATCATCATCATCATCATCATCATCATCATCGTCATCTGAGCTGCTCGTGTCGCTGGCATCGCTAGATTCACCAGGACTGCGAGAGCGCGGCCTTGGGGACTTGCTTCTGCTTCTGCTGCGGCTTGTGCTTGTGCTCCGGCTTTGGCTGTGACCGCGGGCTGTGTCACGCCTTCGTGACGGCTCTGCGCTGGTTGGTGGTGCGAGCGTACGCCGGGATGCATTCTTGGGCGGGATGGCACTTCCTGCGGAGGCCTTTCCCGCAGCCGAGGACGCCAAGCGTTTGGTGGCAGGCTTTGCTGTTGCAGATTGTGCTCGCGCGCTGCTACGTATGGGGAGAGGGGAGCTGTTCCCCTGCACCGGTGCCTTGGACGACCCTGATGAGGCTGCACGCGGGGACCTGGGCGACCTGCTGCGGGGGGACTTGTTGCCCTTGCGCTTCTTGCCGCGCTGCAGCTTCTTTATGTACGACTTGCAGTCTCTTGTACGGAGCAGCGTGACGACTGTCTGTAACGCTTTGAGAGCATCGTGAAGGCGAGCGCGGCCAAGGGACACCAACACGTCACGGGAGAAGGCATCATAGCCACGCAGCCGCTTCAGCTCATCTAGCGCCAGCGTGTAGCATGCGTACAGTGTTTTCTGCGAGGTCAGCTCTGCCTTGAAATCTGCCGCGTGGATGCCAAGCAGCTGAGCATGTGTTGGATGTTGGGTGTGTGTGTGCGCGCGCGCGTGTGAGGTGTGGTGAAGTTATGAAGCAGGCAGCAGTTCAAACAGAGTAGCGAATTTGACGAAGTAAGACGCGCCTCACAGCAAGATGGAGCAAGCGTGTCTACGTGCTGAAAGAAATACAAAGACCCACAGACAGGCAGACAGACACACAGACGAACAGATGGACAGACACACACACGCAGACACACAGACACACACACACACACACACAGAGACATTCTCGCTCACTCTCATGTACACACGCACATGCACACGCACCTTTGAGAGCATCCAGGCCAGGTCCCGGCGGATGCTGGCTTCTTCCTTTTTGCGCTGTTTCTCGGTGCGTCGATGCCTCTTCTCATTGCCTTTATCCCTGGGTGTAGGCGTGGTGGAGGTTGGTCTGCTGCGTGAGGGGCTGACGGAGCGTTGCCTTCTCCGACGCACGCTCGGGGAAGCGCGACCGGAGCTGTTTTGTGAGGCCGAAGGGGATGGGCCGGTGCTGCTGACAGTGGAAGTTTTGAGGGTCCTTCTCCCTCCAGGCGGCGTTCTTCTCAGGTGCGGTTTCGGAGTTGTCGAAGGTAAGTCCAGCAAGAACTTGCGAGCTCGCCCTGGCGACTGTTGTTGCTGTTGCTGCTGCCGCGTCGGTCGCTGAGATGGGACGCTGCCGTCGTTGGACGCACTGCTGCCTCCGGGGCGACCTGTGGCTGAAGCCTTGCTCCTTGTGCTTTGTTGTGATGATTGCGGTTGCGACATGGTGCTTGCTGCACTCTGCGAGGAGGGAGGTGAGACGTCAACGAGTACGAAAGTACGAAGAAGCTGCTCGTGTGTGTGTGTGTGTGGTGTGTGTGTGCGTGTGTGTGTGGACTCTTGCGTGGTGTGTGGTGGTCTTCTGTCCTTCTGCTGGCGTGTGCTGGCGTGTGGTGCTTGGGAGGCTCAACGTTTGCTTGTGGCTGTTGTCCTCACCAACGTTGTGTTTGTGGTTCGCCGTCAACCAAGTCTGTCCTCTTGACGACAAGGCCAAAGGAAAACGTTTCTTGTGGCTGCATGCAAGCAAAACCAACCATTCTGAAGGACACAGGTTGAAATCCTCACCACTGTTGGGCTTTTTTTGTGTGTACGAATAACAACTCATCCCCCACCATCGCTGGCTGCAACACAACAACCAAACTGTACAAGCACAACACTGTGCGAGCAGCAGCCTATCATCCAAGCAAGCAAGCAAGCAAAAGCAAGCAAGCGGTCGAGTGTGTTCGCGGCAAACAAACAACATGGCGTCGCCTGAGCAGAGGGAGTTTATGGTCAAGAAGAAGAACAAGCGTGGCAAGCTGCAAGACCGCAAGGTGCGCGTTGTATCTATTGCTGTTGCACTGGTTTCTCTCTGGTCTGTGTGGGCTTGTATTGTTGGTTGTGTTGTTGGTTGTGTTGTTGTTGGTTGGATTGTTGTTTGTGTTGTTGTTTGTGATCTGTGTGACTGCTGTTGTTGCCGTGGTCATGTTGGCGGTCGTTGTTTGGTGCTGTTGTTGTTGTTGTTGTTGTGGTGGCGTTGTTGTTGTGGTGGCGGTGGTGGTTGCAAGGTGTAGTCTGTGGCGTCAAGACAGGGCGGCGGCACCTCTCCGACTGCGAGCTGTTGAAGTGCACGCAAACGCACTGATCATACACAACATACGCACACACACACACACACTCACTCACACACACATGCACACACGCACATGCACACACGTACACACATACACGCGCGCACACACATGCACACACGCACATGCACACACGTACACACATACACATGCACACACACACACACACACACTCACACACACACACACACACACACACACACACACACACACACACACACACACACACACACACACACACACACACACACACACACGCACACACACACACACACATGCACAGATTATCATTGACCATGAGCAGATGGTGGTGCGGACGAAGACCCCGCAAGGGAAACTGCGTCGCGTGAGTTGGCTCGCCAGGTGCTTGCGCGTTATCAATGGGGGATGTGTTTGGAATGATTGTGGAGCAACGGAACGAATGCCCAGTGCTGACGTGCATTTCAATGCCTTGCATCATCATCATCACCACACCACCAGGAGATCAAGATTATGTTCCTCAGAGAGATCAACGTGATTGCAGCAGATGGGTTTGAGTTTGTAGTCAAGATTCGCTGGCAAGACCGTGCACCCACAGGTTTGTGCATGTGTGTTTGTGCATGTGTGTTTGTGCGCGTATGGTGTAGCTGTGTGTGCCTCTGAACGTGTCTGTGTATGTATGTCACAATGGGATGTGCGTGTGTTTGCGTCCGTTCTATGTTTGAGAGAACGAGATAAAGCAGGCATTCGTCGACAACGACTGGTCCAGGTGTCCACATGTCATGTTTGGAAGTTCTCACTCAAGCACGCACACACATTCGCTTTTGTGTGCATGCTACAGATCACCCGGTGTACTTCCTCATCTTCGACGACGCAAAGGCACAGCGCAGCTTTGCCAAGCAGCTGCTGGACCTCCGCATCCAGTCCACAGGGTTCCCGCCAAAGGGGGTGAGCCGCAGACCTGGCAATCAGCCACTCTACTGCACCCACAGTTGAAGCATTTTGGCATGCACCTCGCCCCTCCTTGTGTTCGCAAGTCTCAGTTCACTGCCGTTTACTATCGTTCATGCACATTCACCACCGCCCCCCACCACCTTGTGCATGCTTGCTACTCCACCAGAATGCCGTAGATGTGCTGAAGCAAGAAGTCGAAGCAGAGGCGTCTGACGACCAAGGCGCCAGCATCCACGCGCCACCCGCACAGCAGGGCAAGCAGCCCGAAGCGGGCCAGGAGCGCGCGAGCGTGGCCTCCAATGCCAGCGCGTCGTCGTCGGACAGCGAGGAAGTCGGTGCCATGGGCAAAATCAACACCACCCGCTTGCCAGAGGATGAACCGCCCAGCACAGAGAACACAGTCACCGTCATCACCGTCCTTGGCGCTTCTGGTTATCTCGCAAAGAGCAAAGTCTACCCCGTGCTCTGGTACGTTTGACCCGTGTGGCTCGTGGCTGTGTTTGCTTCGCTCGTTGAGTGACGTGAAGCAAGGTTGTTCCGCGTCGTGTGACCTGCAAGCACGGCACACACACACATGATGCACACTCACCGGTGTCTCACGCCTTTGTATGTGTATGTGTATGTGTATGTGTATGTGTATGCCTGCACGGTTACATGCACCTGCGCGTGCAACTGCACGTACGCGTTGGATGTTGTGTGTCCCAGGACCATGTATCGCAAGAGCCTGATCCCGCGCTCGTCGCTGTTTGTCGGGTATGCGCGGAGCAAGTTCACCAGTGAGGAGTTTATGGGCCGCCTTCGCCCGCATCTCGAGGTTGAATGACGCACGTGCACGTGCACATGCATTGGAAAGGGGTGGGGGAGGGAGTTGGCTGGCCTTTGGCATTTGCTGTGCGAAGTGTCATGGATGCAGGTGGCCTGATGCGGGCGGGTGGGTGTGCTAGGGTTTTGCGTGATGGTTCTTGTTGTAATGGTGTCGTGCGTCGTGCGTGTTCTGTGGCTGAAACACAGGCGTCGGAAGAGGACGCGACGCTCCTGGACAAGTTTTTGCACCGCTGCGAGTACCAAGTCGGCACCTACGACGAAGAGGTGGGTTTTCGGAACAGCCCCTCCTTCTTTGCTAACCCCTGTTTCGCATTGCCACTGTCTGTCTGTCTGCCTCTCTCTCTCTCTCTCTGTTACTACGTCTGCCTGTTCCTCTCGGTCCTTATCTATTCTCATTCATTCATTCATTCATTCACTCACTCACTCACTCACTCACTCACTCACTCACTCACTCACTCACTCGCTCACATGCACGCACGCACTCACTCACTCACTTACTCACACACTCACACACATGCACACACACATGCACGCATGTTTTAGGAGTCGTTCCGGAAGCTGAACGAATACATTGATCTTCGTGTCGCTGCCAAGGGCAAACTGGTATGGCAAATAGCCAGCGTGACATCATCCACTCACTCATGCATGCATCCGTCCATCAGTCTATCCGCCCACCAATGCATCCATTCATGGGGCGCGTGCACACCTCACACTCTGTGTTTCGCTCATGTGCCCTTTGTCCCCTACAGTACAGCAACCGTGTGTTCTACCTTGCTCTCCCCATCCCCGTCATCAAGACCGTCACAGAACACCTCAGCAAGCACTGCCAGGCACAGGTATCGTCTGGCACGCGGGCCTTGTGCGTTGCAGTTGCAGCTGCCAGCTCTGGCTTCGTGCTTACTGCTGGGCATGCACGCAGCCAGCGACCACTGTCACTTGCTTACATGCCCTTCTCCTCCGCACGCGTCTGGTGTGTTCGCTTGATGCCTGATGCCAGGCCGGGTGGACGCGCATTGTGCTGGAAAAACCGTTTGGAACAGACCTGGAGTCGTTCAAATCGCTCAGCGCGGTGCGTTTGGTGATGTTGTGCTCGTCACGCGTTGCTCGTTCGTGCGGACATTGGCGACGAATGCTGTTGGAGGAAACAAACAACAAACCACCCTGACCGTGCCATATCCATGCTCCCTCACTGCTCACGGTCCCACCACCCCATGACACCTGGTGTGTTGCATGGCAGCACCTGTTGAAGAGTTTCAAGGAGGAGCAGATTTACCGCATGGACCACTATCTTGGCAAGGAGATGGTGCAGAACTTGCTGCTGCTGCGCTTTGGCAACCGCATTTTCCATTCCGTGTGGAACCGCAACCACATCAAGGCTGTTATCATCTCCGTGAAAGAGCCGACGGCCCTGGGCGTCTACAACACCTACTTTGACCAGCAGGGCATCATCAGGTCAGCGGAGATGCGTTGCTGTGTACGGTCGCGCCTGAGCGTGTTGGGTGGAGAGAGAGGGAGCGGGTGTCAAACAGAGAGCACGTGTGGGTGTTTGTTTGTGTTTGTTTGACAGTGTGTGTTTGGTGTGTGTTTGTGCACGTCCACACACAGACACACAGACACACAGACACACAGACACACAGACACACAGACACACACGCACACACTTGCACGCACACGCACAGACACACACACCGCATATGATTTTGTGTTCTGACACCACGCCACCCATCTGTCACTTATGACGTCATCACCAGGGACATGATCCAGAACCACCTGCTGCAGCTTGCGTCACTCGTTGCAATGGAGGCCCCGCTCACCCCCAAGGCCGATGACATTCGCAAGGAGAAGCTCAAGTGCCTTCGCTGCTTCGAACAAGTCACATCAGACAGTGCGTATTTTTGCTTTGGCTTTATGTTGTGTCGTGTGTCGCGTGCTGTTTCGCATGGATGGCGCTGTTGGGCGCCAGTGTCGACTGAATGGGCGATATGATGTGACCGAGTAAGCACGTGGTGATGTATGTATGCGTGTGCGTGGCGTGGCGTGTGATGGCTGTGGTGGTATTGGTAGTCGAACGCTCACATGTGCATATGCTGTCCCGTCCATGATTGTCAGATGTTGTGATTGGCCAGTACACGGCCTCTGCCGACCACTGCGGGTACAGGGAGGAGGAGGGCGTGGGTGCTGCGTCCAACACGCCGACGTTTGCTGTTGCGCGGCTCAACATCCGCAACGACCGCTGGGACGGCGTCCCGTTTCTTCTCAAGTGCGGCAAGGGCCTCAACGAGAACAAGGCTGAGGTGCGCCACGCTGCTCGTTCGCGAGTCGTGTTACAGCGGAAAGGGGAAAGGGGAAAGGGGGTTTGCAGAGATGCTTTGGGTGGAGAGCTGGCGGTGTGGTTGAAGGTGTGTGTGTGTGTGTGTTGTGCGCAATAGGAATGAATGGTGTCGGTGATGAACATGCACATATTGATTACGTGCAGTATGCCTGTACAGCGAGGACTTTTCTCACAGGAGCTGTTTGTTTGTTTGTTTGTTTGTTTGTTTGTTTGTTTGTTTGTTTGTTTGTTTGTTTGTTTGTTTGTTTGTTTGTTTGTTTGTTTGTTTGTTTGCGTGTGTTTGTTTGTTTGTTTGCGTGTGTTTGTTTGCGTGTGTTTGTTTGCGTGTGTTTGTTCGTTTGTTTGTTTGTGTTTGTGTGTGTGCTTGTGGCGCAGGTTCGCATCCAGTTCAAGGAGAACGCCGGGGAGATCTTCAATGGAACGCACCGCAACGAGCTTGTGTTGCGCGTGCAGCCAAAGGAGCAAGTGCAGCTGAAGATGGATGTGAAGCAGCCCGGAATGTCATTTGACACTGCGCAGACGCACCTGGACCTGTCGTACCCAGAGCGACTGCAGCTGGCAGCGGCGCCCACCGCATATGAACGCCTTCTCATCGACGTCATCCAGGGCAACACCACAAACTTCCTCACAGCGTGCGTTCTTAGGATTGTGGCTTGCGATTGCGGTTATGCATGCGGTTGTGGCTGTGATTGTGCTTGCGCGCTGTGGTTGCGGTGGTGGTGACTGTGGTGGTGGTGACTGTGGTGGATGTGACTGTGGTGGATGTGACTGTGTTTGCTCCGCTACCCTACTGCTGAAGCTCTTGCCTCCCCTTACCTCCCTCTTCCCCTGTCACCACTTGTCACCACCTGTCACCACGTCTTTGGCTGTGTAGGGCGGAGCTGGAGGAGGCGTGGCGCATCTTTGCTCCCGTGCACGCCGACATCGACGCCCGCAAGATCCAGCCAGAGGCCTACACATACGGAAGCCGTGGGCCCGTGAGTGTGACAGCGTGTGCCTGTGTGTGTGTTTTTGTGTGTGTTTTTGTGTATTTGCTTGCGTGTGTGTGCTTTTGTGTATTTGCTTGTGTGTGTGTGTGGGTGTGTGCTTTTGTGTGTGCTTTTGTGTGTGTGTGTGTGTGCTTTTGTGTATTTGCTTGTGTGTGTGTGTGTGTCCGTTGTTGCTCACGTCGCTCACGTTGCTGGGCCATTGCATGTGCGCAGGAGTCTGCGGATGCGTTTATCAAGGACGCGGGCTACCAGTACGAGCAATACGACGACAAAGAGGCGTGATCACCACACACGCGCACACGCGTACACCCGTCACAGCGTTTTCATGTTGCTTTCCATTCCCCGTCTGTCTCTGCTTGCTTCTTTGTTCGTCTTGCTCTCAGTTGCTGTGCGTGCTTGCATGGTTCATTGATGATGATTGACTCGTTCCATGTTGTGTCGTTGTAATAGAACCTTGTGCTGGGCAAGAGTGGTCAATTGGCTCGTTGCACAACGACAATGAAGACAGTGGCGGTGATGAGGGGACCGACGAGGGCGGATGATGCTGACGTGAAAGAGCACCAGCCAACCAATAAGCAGGCAAAGGAGAAGGTGTGATGGGATAGGCTGGACCGAGCTTTGCTGGTTGTTGACTACTGGAGCGTGTGAGGCTGGATGTGCGGGGGGTGGTGCTGGTGTTGCTGCGGGTGTTGGAGATGCTGCGCGTGATGCTGCTGTTGCTGAGGCATGTGTTGTTGGTGGTGGTGTTGTTGCTGCGGCTGCAGTTGGTGCTGGTGGTGGTGTTGCTGTTGTTGCTGCGGCTGTTGGTGTGGGGAGAGGTGCTGCTGCTGCTGCTGCTGCTGCTGCAACTCCGCCTTCATCTGTGCAAGCACCTGCGGCTCTGGCTGGGGATGATACGCGTTGACAATCTTCTCGGCGCACTTGCGAGCGCGGCTGCCACTCGTCGCGGTCACCGTCATAAAGTCTGATCACGAAGGGAAGTTGCAACGTTGCAAAATGAGGAGGGGGATGGCGGGAGGAGCACATTGCAAATGAGAGTTAGGTCGCAGCAGCGGCGGTGGTAGAACGACGCTCGTTTGCGCCGTTCCCATGCAGATAAACAAACAAACAGACAGACAGACAGACAGACAAGCACACACACACACACACACACACACAGATACACAGACAGAGAGACAGACAGACACACACACACACACACACAGACAGACACACATACGCAGATACACAGATACACAGATACACAGACAATCACCACGTCCCTTCTTCACACCAATGCCCCCTGTGCGCACCTTTCATCATGTCCTGGATGCGCTCGGCCTGGCGCAGCACATCCTGCTGGAGATGGCGAATGGCCGATATGACGAGGGCGTTGTTGGCCAGCAGCGGGTCAGACAGCTCCACACTGCGCGACGCAACCTCCTCCGCCGAGGCAATCTCCGGGCACGACTCGCGGGTGCCGTCGTTGGGCACGCTCGGGGCAAGGAAGGACGTCTGGTTGTGGTAGAGGCGGGAGACGATTGAGCGGCCCGAGTACACGGAGACGCCGAGATACATGCCGTCCCGCGCATTGAAGAACGCACTGATCTGCACATTGGTGTGTGTGTGTGTGTGTGTGTGTGTGTGTGTGTGTGTGTGTGTGTGTGTGTGTGTGTGTGTGTGTGTGTGTGTGTGTGTGTGTGTGTGTGTGTGTGTGAGGGATTCAGGTAAGGGCGCGTCATATGATCGTAGCGTGATAGTATGTGTGGCTGCGTATTCGGGGTTGTGTGGTACGCACAACACAACACACAACACACAACACACAACACACCACACCACAACACAACACAACACAGAGCAGGCACGTTTGTTGCTGCACCTTTCTTTGCAAGGACTGCTCGAACGAGGCAGGGGCAGCGGCGCGATGCAGGTCCTTGGGCTGCTCCGTGAACCCGGCGTGCTTGCGACGCGCCTCCTTGGCGCGAGAGGTGAACTGATAGTTGCAGCTGCGACACGTGCGCCGAGCGATGGGCGACCACTGCCCGCACCCGCTCATGGGACAGCGCTTACAGCAGTTGATTTGCAAGCAGCGGATGCAGGTGTTGTCGCCACAGGGGGCCGACTTGGCCCCCTTTTGCTTAATCTGCCAGGGATTGAGAGCGCAATTATGTGTGTGCGTGTGCGTGCGTGTGTATGTGTGCGTGCGTGCGTGTGTATGTGTGCGTGTGTGAGTGAGTGAGTGTGTGTGTGTGTGCGTGTGAGTGAGTGAGTGAGTGAGTGAGTGTGTGTGTGAGTGAGTGAGTGAGTGAGTGTGTGTGCGTGAGTGTGTGAACAGTGACCATGGGGGGACATGTAGGGTGACTGGAGTAGACAAAGCGATCAACTGCAAGCCATGACCCATGTCCCACTTACGCCTGGGCAGTTGGGCCTCGGCGGCATCATGTCCCGGACCTTGCCCTGCATCATGGGTGCAGAGGGCATGCCAACACGGTGCATGCTGAGCGGCATGGGCATGCTCTGCGACGACATTGGAATCTGGGAGGTCTCGACATGTGAGGTTTGTGGATCGCCCAGTTTGGCGCGCTTGTTGGCTAGCTCTGCTTGTTCCCGCTCGTCATGGTGGCGCATGGTCGCGTGCTCATGCTGTTGGTGGTGCGGGTGGTGTTGGTGGTGGGGTGGCGGTGGGTGATGCGCAGGGTGATGGTGCTGCTGGAGCTGATGAGGCGGTGGTGGCTGGAGTTGATGGTGTGGCGGTTGTGGCGGTGGGTGCTGAAGCGGGTGTGGGTGGTGGTGCATTGGCTGTAAAGGCGGCAGCGGGCCCACGTGTGTGTGTGGCGGTTGTTGAGTTTCTGGCTGTTGGTGATGGTGCTGTTGCTGCTGCTGCTGTTGCTGTTGTTGATGTTGGTGCTGCTGTTGGTGCTGCTGTTGCTGGTGCTGTTGTTGTTGTTGTTGCTGTTGTTGATCTTGTTGCTGTTGTTGATCTTGTTGCTGTTGTTGATCTTGTTGCTGTTGTTGTTGGTCTTGTTGTTCTGACCGTTGCTCTTGCTGCTCTTGGTGTGGCTGTTGTTCTTCCCCTTGTTGGTGCTGTTCCGGCTGTTGCGGCGGGAGTGGGGGCTGGGGCTGCTGTTGCTCCGGGTCATCTTGAGGCTGCTGCTGCTGCTGCTGCTGAGTGGGCGGTGGGGGTGGCGCAACCACGGCGCCAGGGCTGTGATCCGGCGCCTGTGGCTCATCTGGCGATGACATGGTGCAGTGTTGTTGTCGTTCGTTGTGGATGCTGCTATGGTGATTGATGCTGGTGGGGTTTGTGGTTATCGATGTTGGCGTCGTCGTTCGTTGTTGTTTCGTGACACGCACTCAACTCGGGCGCGGACTGCCTTCCTTGGTCGTTTCCACGTGGGTGTGAGTGCAACAAGTGCGCCCAGCCAGGGCAAGGAGCCTGTTTTGTGGTGATGTGGTGATGTGGTGATGTGGTGATGATGGTGTTGCCGAACACCAAGGCAGGGAGGACAAGTCCGCGTTCGCCTTTGCGCAGGGCGCGCTTGTTTGCTGATTGGCGGGTGTGGGATGGAGCAGATATGGCATTCGACAACGGCGCGTAAATGGACGCCAGGCAATAATTGCGCGTGCTCCCCAATTCTTTTGTTTCCCCCGTTTTGTGTTCAGATGTCGCCGGTTCAAGTCCATCCCACCACAAAACACCGCAAGCAAGTCGATGTTTTTTTTTCTCTCTCATGTCTCGTTGCTGGGGGGACAAGTCCTTCGCCACACACAACATTCCACAAAAGAAAAATCGAGGATGATATGTACCAATTTCGCGTTACCAAGCTTCGTGTGCGCGCAAGCGAGAGTGAGAGTGACACAGGCCGTCGTCGTCCCCTTACACTTCTTGCTTGCTCCGTGGCTTGCTGCTTGTGTTGTCTTGCTCCAGCCACGCACCCACGCACGCCAGCAGCACCTTCTTCTTCTTCCGCTTCGACTTGCAGACAAACGTGCGTACGTGGTGGACTCAACCCCTGTGCAATTGTTGGTTTTGGCTGTTGACTTGAGCGTGGCGAGCCACCACGTTGGTTGGCTGTCCTCCAAGCCATTCGCCTCTGCCACATCCTTTTGTTTGTGTTGTTGGATTTGGGAGTTGGCAGCTTCGTTCATTGTTGTGGTCCGCCATCGTGGGCACACACACACACACACACACACACACACACACACACACACACACACACACACACACACACATCAACGAGCGCCCCTTGTCCTTTGTGTTAGTGTGCATGCTCAACAAGGTCTCGCACAAGGAAGATCTCCCCACAACCCGCAAACCACTTCTGTTCTGTGTTCTCCTTACTCACATAACACACACACACACACACAAACAGCAGCAGAGGTCACTTCTTCAGCCAGCCACACCACATGTCTGGATCTGGCCGTGGCACAGCGCGGAGGCGGCACGTTGCCTCTCGCCAGCCTTTGGAACCAATCCCCAGTGCCCACACGCCCGCAGATGATCGTACGTGTCTTCTGTGCCAGTAATTGTCGAACACACCAGCTGCAATGCCACCGTGCTACTTCGCGTGTGTGCACGTGTGCATGCATGCTTGCCTTTGCGTCCGCGCACGCGTGCGTGTGCGTGTGTGTGTCCCACACGACGAACCGTTCCTTCGTTCCTTCGTTCCTTCGTTCCTTCCCATGTGTTCCCACCTCTTGCCAGGGTCACCTTGCCTCCATCTAGCTGGCTTGAGCTTGTTCACTCATCCCTTGCATCGTGTCGTGCATATGCGGGTCCCCTCTATCCTCCCTCCAGCATCCAACTATGACTTGATGCCCATCGCAAGCATGAACCAGTCTTTGTTCTCGTCAACAAAGAGTCTCTTCAAGATCCTCAAGCCCCTCGACTCCTGTACGTCGGTCGCGGTCATCATTTTGCTGCGCCCCCACATGCATTCACGCACACATGCGCACGCACATGCGCTTGTGTGATGTTGCTCATGATGCTCACGCTCGTCGCATGCGTGTCTGCAGCTGGCCCGTTGCCCGGCCTCTCCGCGACTGGCAAGAGCTCTGCGGACCTGTGGCCCCATCCAGACACTCAAGGTGAGAACAGGCACAGCAGGAAACAAAGCCCTATTGTCCATAGGGTGGAGCGTGGGTGTTTGACTGCGCTGTGCCAATGACTGTAGCGTGTGTGTGTGTGTGTGTGCTTGTGCGTGCGTTGCTGAAGCGATGATGCAGTTTGTGCCGTGCACACCCCTGCATCATATGCTGACATGCACAGCTCACCACCATCGGCGTGTGTTCCTCTTTGTCCTGCGCAGTGAAACTCGAGGACCTTCCGGACCTTGCTGCCGCCTGCCGTGTTGTGGATGAGTTCACGGCTGCGCGCAACACCGTGCAGCAGCTGACCGGCAGCGACGTCCAGGCTGATATCGACGCCGTCAAGCAAGCGCAACATCTCCTCGCATCCAAGCCCACCCTCTCCTTTCCCTGGTCTGCACCTGTGTGCTCTGTGTGCGTACGTGTGTTTGTGCGTGTGTGAGTGCGTGCGTGCGCGTGTGTTTGTGTGTTTGTGTGTGTGCGTGTGTGTTTGGTCGTTTGTGTGTGTGCGTGTGTGCGTGCGTGCGCGCGCGCGTGTGTGTATGTGTGTGTATACTCTGTACAACGCAGGGTGTGATTGCACGTGTGAAATACGTCGTACGCACGTGATCGCACCTTACGCACGTGATCGCACCTCACACTTGGCATGTGGCGTGTTTGTTGCGGCAGCATGATGGCCCTTGCTCTTCTGGACAGCCCAGCCAAGCGCCTTACCGTCAGCGAAATCTACAAGGTAACACGTGTGTGTGGATGTGTGTGGATGTGTGTGGATGTGTGTGGATGTGTGTGGATGTGTGCGTGTGTCAGTTTGTCAGTTATTGCAGGTGTATGTGTCTGCACGGCTGTGTGCATGCAAGATCATGTTGCGTGCGCTCACGCGACTCGCCAACGCTGCTGCAACCAATTGTGCAGTGGATCAAGGCCATGTTTCCCTACTTTGCCAGCTTAGAGGCGGGGTCTGGCTGGAAAAACTCTGTTCGACACAACCTCAGGTAATGGCAATGAGGACAGGCCAGCCGCACAGCAGCACTTGAGCACACACAGAGATTGGGAAGCACACACGCACAGAAGGCTACACAGACAGACGCACAGGCACAGACAGGCAGGCAGACACACAGACAAACGCACAGACGCACAGACAAACACACACAGACACACAGACAAACGCACAGACGCACAGACAAACACACACAGACACACAGACAAACGCACAGACACACAGGGACAGACAGGCAGGCAGACACACTCACACAGACACATGCCATACGCGTGATGCTGCAAACAGACCTCACCTTTGTTTTGCATGCATGCAACGCAGTTTGAATTCGCACTTCAAGCGTGTGTCCCGGGAATCAAACGGAACAGAGAAACCGGCGTCTGTCGGCAAAGGGTCATACTGGTCCCTCAAGTCCATGTCGCTCCCGCATATGGAGGATCAAATGGCCGCCATCACATCATCATCCGTGAGTCACACGTGATCGTGTGTGCGTGTGTGTGTGTGTGTGCGTGTGCGTATTCGTGTTCGCGATCGTGTGCCTGTGTTGTTGTTGGGCGTGCTTTCCTGTCTCTGAGCGTTCTGCTAGTGCACACCACAATTATTATGCTGAACGGTTTCCTTCTACTTCACCTGTGTGTTTTGTTTTGTGCTGTGAAGGACTGCGCCCGTCGCTATCTGGATGGCATCCAGCACGCCAAGCGTGTCGTCGACACCTTTGCACAGACCAAACCGATCCTCTCCCCATCAAAACTCAACGCAACAGACAGTATGTTGTCTTGCCCCCGGGCCCGTTATTCCTTGACAGTCACGTCTCATGTCATCACACAGCATCACACACACACAGACACACACACACAGACACACACGCACACACAGACACACACACACAGACAGAGCAACGTGTGCGATGTGCCCGTATTTCCTCCTCATATGGCACTTAAACTCATGTGTGTGTGTGTGTGCATTCTTCCTTCACAGCACCGCGGCGACGAAGACGACAATCAAAGTCAAAGACAGCACGCGCCCGTGACATGCGCGAACGTACGCAACTGCTTTGTGTGCGTTTGTGAGGGAGAGCTGTTCTACATTTCCTCAGCCGTTTTTACTTTGGGAATGCACTCATGTGTCAATGCTCACTGGTGTTCTTGCTGTCTCTTGCGCTGCATGACTTTCCGTTGCAGTGGATGCCATTGCACACACACTGCTGTCCCTCAAGTCTGCAAACGCCAAAGGATTCAGATCAAAGCCGCTTCCCTCCATCAAGGTGTGTGCAAGTGTATGCGAGTGTGCGAGTGTGCGCGCATGTGTGTGTGTGTGTGTGCTGGTTTTATCTTGCTCCCACCCATGCAGGTGCGCATGTGAATGCGCTGTGTGTGTGCTTCAGTCTGGTGTGTTCATTGTGCCACTGCTCGCCCTCCTCCTCACCCCCTCCCCACCCCCCTGCTCACACCCCCCTCCCCACCCCCTCCACCGCCTACATGTGGACATGTGTGCAGCGGACGGGGTCTCCGCCATCGCCCACGGCCGGTGCCGGCATGGACGCGTCCACGCGCACGTCGAGCGCCGTCATTGCGGGCTGTTACGATCCACAGGCCCGCCTCTCCACCGCCAGCTCGTCCCGCCAAGGTGACATGCCGCCCTCGCAACACTCATGGCTCTTGCTTCTGCCTCTCTTGCACATGTCCCTCTTTTGTCTCTCCGTCTGCACCCCCCCCCCCAACTGTTGCCGTGTCTCCCATCTCTTGCTTCTGCCGTCGTGGGGTTTGTATTTGTATGCGTCTGGTGGTGTGATGTGACGCCTTCTGTCGACATGTCTCCACTTTTTTTTTGTATTCTCGATTCCTGTCCGCTTGCGTTGCCTTCCCAATCCCGCGTCTGCCACCATGCGCTCACACACGCCGGCGTTGTCACGTGCGGTGCAGACGAGACGGAGTTTGTTGTGCTGCAGTCGGCGAACAGCACAACGACGGCGATTCGCCGGTCCCGCGGCGCCAGCGGCCGCTCGGCACACAGCGCCGCCATGGTCCGTCTCATCGCACGCACACACACACACACACATACACACATGTATATTTTTTACACATGTACACATACACACATACATACACACAGACACACACACATTTACACACACTTACACACACATACACACACATTTACACACGCACGTGGTGTCTTGAGACGGCATGCATGTATATTTTTACACATGTACACATACACACAGACACACACACACACATTTACACACACACATACACACATTTACACACGCACGTGGTGTCTTGAGACGGCATGAACGGACGCATCTCTGTATCTGACAGCAACTTGCGCAATGTTTGCTGCTTGCAGGACTCGCGAACGGACGAAGGCCAGGCGCCACCGATGTTTACGTTCACATCGCCAAGTTCGTTTTCATGCTCACCGTCACTACTGATTGCATTTGGCGCTGTTTGCATGACCTTGCATGGCCTCTTCTCCTTCTCACACCGTGTCCTCGCAATGATGCGCATTGCAGTGTCTATGCCAGCACACCAGTCTGCATCCGCCAACGGCGCAAAGCAGAGCACATCGCGGCGAGGTACAGAACACACACACGCACACGCACACACGCATACACACACACACACACACACGCACACGCACACGCACACACACATCCCACACACGTGGTCGTGTCACCTTTGAATTGGTTTCCGCTCACATGTTCCCCATGTTTCAACCATTCCTCCTCCAACACCACACAAAGCGGGCGACCTTGTTGCGCGCATGGACACGGCCACCGACGACGAAATCAACGCAACGTATGATGTCACCCGTCTTGCCCACGCCTCTGCGCTGTTGCGTCCTTTCTGTTCATTTCACAGTCGCCACCTCACACTTGTCACCTCACACTGGCCTCTCCTGCGTCCCGCGCCCAACACCACCACACTTCCCGTTGGCTTCACTACCACCACCAGCGCTGCCCTGCTCTCGCTCGCCGGCGTCACTGATGTCAATCTCTTTGAGTCCAAGTCTTAGCTGTAACCTCGATTGTGTGTTGTGATCACGCCCTTACTTGCTTGTTAGTTTGATCCTCTTGTACTCTTTCCTCCCTTCTCGTCCATGTCTGTGCGTCTGTGCGTCTGTGCGTCTGTGCGTTTGTGTTTGTGTGTCTGTCTGCCAGACTGGTTGTCTCTCAGCTTCTCTGTCCGTCTGTGTTCATTTTTACCTGACCAGACAACGAAGCACCGCAGCCCATATGCTGCGTGATGCTTTTTCGTTTCCACTTTCGTTTTCATAATGTACGTTCACCCATACATGCACCTCTCGCTTTGCCCGTGTTTAAGCGTCGTCCCCCCCCCCTCTTCTCATCATTCCTTGTCACTGCCCCACCTCCCGCCTTTCATATCCCATACATTCGTCGCTGACAACCATTCTCTTTGACATGAGACTGCGTGCTTGATGGAATACTGTAATGTGTGCGCTGTGGTCGATCGCGTGTTGCGCATACGCCCACCTACCTCTGACACGTGCTCTTCTTCCCTCTTTCTTGTTTTTCATCGTGTTGAACGCTGCCATAAATGTGTGTGGCCTGTTGCTGTTTGTGTGTTTGTTCGTTTGCGAGCATAGCGCATGCTCGTTGGGGTTGCCTTTGAACAGGCCATCCAAATACATAACTCGATCCTTCAGGCTCAGGCAACCCATTCATCGTCACACACACACACACACATGTATGCTGAGTCTCGCTTGTCCACGGCAATTCCAGGGAACCAATCAAGATGAAGAAGCACTCTGTTTACTGCGTGCGACTGACGCCCAGCTGCAATGTGTGTCATCCATCACATCACTACTGCTGACAAACAAGACGACAACCAAGATGAAAACATGAATGATGGAAAGAAGTTGACATGACTACACGACTGCATCCAGCACACACACAATAGATGCACGCTCGAAAAACTGCCTTGAGCAAGGCATCTACTACTCGAACAACAATACAAACAAACAAGCCACTCGAACGAACCGAGCGACAAAGCACTCATAGCGGACAGCCCAACACACACACACACACACACACACACACACACACACACACACACACACACACACACACACACACACACACACACACACAC